ATTTACTATATACCCCATGACTATATAACCCTATGACTACCATTAAGTGTTGTACCTGATGATTCTTGACTCTTGACGAATGTATCTTTTCTTTTATGTACACTGAGAGCATTTCCACCAAGACCAATTCCTTGTGTGTCCAATCACACTTGGCCAATAAAAGAATTCTATTCTATTCTCTATTCTCATCCAAGAAGCTTCTTCAGCTCTAACTGAAGTTCTATCTCTAATGAGATAGAACGAAAGAAGCCTCTTGGATGAGAAGTGAAACCTTTTCAAGGAAAAAGAAAGGAAGTCCATTTGACTCCTGGAAACCCACTTTTGGGACGCCTCCCACAGATGTCCATACCTCCCAGCACCCTAATTAATCTATGAGGCAGCCCTTAGTGCTCCCCTACCAATGTCTGCTTGTTAGATGTGTATCACACCTGTTCTCCGGAAACTCAAAGTGCCTTGCGTGGGGAGAACATCCCTTTATTTTGTTCCTCAGTCATATGCTTAAGACATAATGATTGGCCCAAAGTCACTTTCCTGGACCTTCATCCCTCAGTCACTCTGGTCCTCCGTCACTGTACAGGTTTGTCCTCGACTTACCACAGTTCATTTGCTGACTGTTCAAAGTTACAATGGCACTGAAAAAAAAGTGACTTATGGCCAGAGGTGGTATTCATCTGGTTCTGACCAGTTCCAGAGAAATTTAGAGTAGTTGGGAGAACTGGCAAATCCCTCCTCTGACTGTCCCCACCAACCCCATCTCTCCTCTGTCTCCCATTGAGTCCCAGCTGATTGGCTGGGTCTCCTTTGGTTGCCCTGCACAGGAGAAGGGAGCTGGAAAGCAGGTTAGTGGGGTGGGGAGGGAATGGGGATTTTGCAGTATATCCTTCCATTGTCACGCCCACCAAGTCACACCCACAAAATCTAGCCCCTTTACTAAAATACCCTGTTTCCTAGACTTGACTCAGGCTGCACTCACCCCACCTGCTAAACCACAAAAATCCTACCGGGGCTTAGTGTGCAATGCAAATTCAACCACATCTTTGTGAATACAGCCCAGGTGCGAGAAGCTGACCTACAACATTCAGCCCTCTTTATATACCAAGAAACAGGAACCCCTCACTCAGCAGGAGGAGGCCAGGCAGCCATCCACCCATCCCAGAGTTGGGATTCAGCAGGTTCTGACCAGTTCTGGAGAACCAGCAGCAGGAATTTTGAGTAGTTCAGAGAACCGGCCAATCCTAACTCTCACTGGCCCAGGGGTGGGATTCAATTTTTTAAGAACCGGTTCTGTGGGCGTGGCTTAGGTGGTGGGCATGGCTTGGTGGTCATGTGACTGGGTGGACGTGGCTTGGTGGTCATGTTATTGGCTGGGCATGGCCAACTCAATATCACTCACATCGAGGCATGCATCTCCTCGCCTGGCCTCTCATGACTGTGGGGATGCTGCAACAGTCGTAAGTGTGAAAAACGGTCATAAGTCACTTTTTTCAGTGCCATTGTAACTTTGAATGGTCACTCCACACAAGCAAAGTAGCAGCAAAGGAGAGGAAAAAAACTCCAGAGAAGTTCCAGAGACAGGAAGTCTAGTCCTGCCAAGAACGTAATAAGGGTTAACAGAGGGGCAGTTTCTGTAAGCAACACCAGAATGTTTCCTTCCTGCCTTCCTTACAGGATTAGGCCAATAATTTCTTCTAACAACCGGTTCTCCGAACTGCTTAGAATGTTAACAACCGGTTCTAGCGAATTGGTGTGAACTGGTAGAATCCCACCCCTGACTGGCCCCACCAACCCCCACTATTCTCTGCCTCCTGAATCCCAGCTGATCGGCTGGGTCTCCTTTGGTTGTGCTGCACAGGAGAAGGGAGCTGAAAAGCAGATTAGTGGGGTGGGAAGGGAAGGGAAGGGGAATTTTACAGTATCCTTCCCCTGCCATGCCCACCAAGCCACGCCCATGCCACGCCCAAGCCACGCCCACAGAACCGGTAGTAAAAAAAAATTGAATCCCACTTCTGCTTGTGACCGTTTTCCACCATTAGGACCATGTCGTGTGATCAAAATTCAGGCACTTGGCCACCGATTCATATTTTTGATGGTGTCCCGGTGATCCCCTTTTGCGACCTTCTGACAAGCCAAGCCAACCTGGAAGCCAGATTCACTTAACAACCAAGGGGGCTAACTTAACAACTGCGGCGATTCACTTAAACATGGGGGCAGGAAAGATCATAAAAAAATGGGTCAAGTCTCCCTTAAGAAATGTCTCACTTAACCACAGAACTTCGGAGCTCAATTTTGGTCTTACGTCAAGGGCTATCTCTACACAATAAGCACAAGGCCTGGGCTAAGATCCCTTTGGGTGAGGCCACCAAAGGCTCAGCTCCACGGAGCAAGACCCTCAGATGCTGTCCACCACCCAGAACCTAGTTTCTTAGAGCTGGATGGGACCTCAGAGGTCTTCTAGTCCAACCCTGCTCTGCCCAACAACTGAATGAAAAACTGCTGGTGACCTTCTACTGCTGCACCATCGAGAGTATCTTAACTTACTGCACCTCTGTATGGTTTGCCAATTGCACAGGGGCAGATAGGAAAGCACTCCAAAGGGTTAATGTCATTGCCCTGAGGATCATTGGTTGCCCTCTCCCCTCTTTGGAAGAGCTTTATAGCTCCCGCTGCCTTAAGAAAGTTCAAAACATTCTCAAAGATCCATCTCATCCTGGGAACCCTTTTTTTGAACTATTACCATCTGGCAGACGGTACAGGACAATAAAAACAAGGGCAAATAGGCTGAAAAACAGCTTCTATCCAAGGGCAGTAGCTCTATTGAATTCTACTGTATAGTGCAATATTAATGCAATATCAAAGGTTTGAAATTCAATGTATATAGAATGTGAAGGATGTTGTCTGTTTTTGTTTTCATAGTCATCATGTACACTGAAGATGGTATTTAATTTCGTTGTACGAGGTGCAATGCCAATGAAGTAAAGTGAAAACCAAGGCAACAGACCTCATGCCATCTGGGACCAATGGCTGCCCCATCTCTTCTCGAAAAGAGATGGGGCATCCACAACTCCAGGAGGTGAGCCATGACTCTTTGCAAACCATGGGACCCAGATCCAGACTGAGGGCTGGATCGCGCAGCTGCACTCCCGATGCCTCAAGGTTCCCATTGTGAGCCATACACCCGATCAGGGGTGGGCTTCACAATTTTTTAGCAAGGGGGAACCTGCCTGGTTGCTGGGTGGGCGTGGCCAGGGTGGGCGTGGCCTAGTCAGCCTCCTGCATCACAGCAGGGGTGGGGCATTTTGCCTTCCCAAGGCTCTGGAGGCTTTTCTTGAGCCTCCGGGGGGGGGGGGGTGAAAATAGCCTCCTCGGGCTCCGGAGGCTCTCTGAAAGCCAGAAACAGGCCCATTTCCAGCCTTCCCAAACTTCCAGGAGGACTGTTTTTCGCCCTCTCTGAGCCTCTGCACATGCCCTGCACTTATGTGCATCCAAAATGGGCCATGTGGGGACTCCTGGGAGGGGAGGGGAGGGGAGGGGAGGGGAGGGGTGGACGGGGCCACCCAGGAGTGGGATTTGGGGGTTCTCCAAACTGCACAGAATCTTAGCTACAGGGGTGGGATTCTACCAGTTCGCACCTATTCACTAGAACCGGTTGTTAACATTTTAAGCAGTTTGGAGAACCAGTTGTTAGAAGAAATTACTGGTCTAATCCTGTAAGGAAAGCAGGAAGGAAACATTCTGGTGTTGCTTACAGAAACTGCCTCTCCGTTAACCCTTATTACATTCTTGGCAGGACTAGACTTCCTGTCTCAAGAACTTCTCTGGAGTTATTTTTCCCCTCCTTTGCTGGTACTTTGCTTGTGTGGAGTGACCATTCAAAGTTACAATGGCACTGAAAAAAGCGACTTGTGACCATTTTTCACCCTTACGACTGTTGCAGCATTCCCCACAGTCATGAGAGGCCAGGCGAGGAGATGCGTGCCTCGATGTGAGCGATATTGACTTGGCCACGCCCAGCCAACAACATGACCACCAAGCCACGCCCACCAACTAAGCCACGCCCACAGAACCGGTTTTTAAATTTTTTGAATCCCACCCCTGCTTAGCTAGGGGCTTTCCCAAACCCCTGCAAACCGCCCCTGTGCCCTGATCCTAAACGTTTCAACCTAAATTCTCCCCCCGTGGCAGCTGTCGGCCTTCCTCTGCCACCCGCAGCCGGCAGCTCTGCTTTTGCTCTGCAAAACCCCTTGGCAAACAAAAAACAAAAAACCAGACTCGGTTCCCAGCTGAGCATCCGTTCCAGACCTTCCTCCCCTCTCAGCAGCTCCTTCAGGAGTGAGCTTGATTGTGTTTAATGGCATTTGTGCTAGAATCCCACACACACAAAAGCCGTGACCGAGGTCACTGCCGACTGGGGAGTTTCCGGTCTTCCAAACGAACGGCTTGCAAGTTTGCTGCTGGGTGTCGGCGACTATTTAATTCGGCTAAATGGAAACCGTGTAGCCATAGCTGTACCTCTCCCAAATAACCTTCCTTTGTTATCCTCTGGATGTTAAGGAAAAGTACTCTCTGACCCAGAGTTGCAACCGATCCACAGGTGATATTCAGCAGGTTCTGATCAGTTCTGGAGAACCGGTAGCGGAAATTTCGAATAGTTTGGAGAACCAGAAAATCCCACCTCTGACTGGCTCCGCCAACCCCCATCTCTTCTCTGCCTCCCATTGAGTCCCAGCTGATCGGCTAGGTCTCCTTTGGTTGCCCTGCACAGGAGAACGGAGCTGGAAAGCAGGTTAGTGGGGAGGGGAGGGAAGGGGGATTTTGCAGTATCCTTCCCCTGCCACGCCCACCACACCCACAGAACCGGTAGTAAAATAATTGAATCCCACCACTGAACTGATCCTTAGAAACATCTAAACTGGGACACCCAGTTATGCCTTTCTGGGGAGGCCAAAGTCAAGCAAACATATCAGATAATGGGGGGGGTTGAGGTAGGAAGCCATACATACATGGAGATGGGGTCGAGCGGTTTGCGTGTTAATTAAAGCCGGGCTGGTCATGCCATCCGCAAGCTACAAATTAAAATGTTTGATTAGCGAAGGGTTAGACAAATAGTCGAAAATACAATCACAAAAGCGAAAGGTTTTCGTACAGAAAACAAATGCCATCTCGTTTCTCCTCTAACAGCATCAAAGAAAGCTCTCCAGCATTTCAACAGCTAGAAATTCATATCCAGCTGCAGGAGGTCAAACGTACAGGGATTTTAAAAAAAATATATTGTTATCTAACAAGGATGGCCAAAGCACCAGAAGGTCAGGACAAGAAACAATGGTTGGAAACTGATCAAGGAGAGAAGCAACCTGGAATTAAGGAGGAATTTCCTAACAGTGAGGACAATTAACCAGTGGAACAGCCTGCCACCAGAAGTGGTGGGTGCTACATCACTGGAGGCTTTTAAGAAGAGACTGGACAACCATTTGTCTGAAATGGTATAGGTTCTCCTGCTTGAGCAAAGGGGCTGGACTAGAAGACCTCCAAGGTCCCTTCCAGCTTTAAGGTAAAGGCAAAGATTCCCCTCACACATACATGCTCATCTCTGTTACAAAGCCGAAGAAGAAGAACCAGCGCTGTCCGAAGTTGTCTCCGTGGTCATGTGGCCGGCATGACCAAAGCCTTCAAAGGCGCACGGAACGCTGTTCCCTTCCCACCAAAGTGGTCCCTATTTTTCTACTTGCATTTTTTTAATGTGCTTTCAAACTGTTAGGTTGGCAGAAGCTGGGACAAGTCCCGGGAGCTCACTCCATGACGGGGCGCTAGGGATTCGAACCGCCGAACTGCCGACCTTTCTGATCAACAAGCTCAGCATCTTAGCCCCTGAGCCACCATATCCCTTCCAGCTCTCTTCTATTTCTAAACCTTCTTCCATGCTACCCCCGATGGCAAAAGGTGCCAGGTGGCCCCTTAGGAGAAACCCAAAGGCACACCAGAAAGGCCCCGAAAGACATCCGGGAGAAACCTTGACTCATCCCTGGCAATTGATGGACCCACCACCTATAGCAGAATTTCTGCAACCGAGCGGTCTCTCCGGCTACCGCGTGACACTCTGGTCACGCCGGCTGGAAAATTTGGGGAGTTGCAATTGAGAAATTCCTGCAGGCAAAAGGAGAGGCTGAATGGAGGTCACAGGAAACCGAGGATGCAAAATGAAGGATGATCAACCGGGGACATCCTGTGTAACAGAAGCTCTCAAGGATCTCCATGTGCAACCACGGGCTTTGACTGAGATCAGATTTAGGGCCGCCTGTTGCCAAGACAAACAACAGGCAGGATTATCCCATTACAGCCTCCAAACTCGCTCAATTATCCAATTATTATAATGATCAATTATTACGTTGACTGAACGGTCCCACCTCAAGAATGCTCACGAAAGGGCTCCTCTTCGGCTCGAGGGGAAGTATCAGGTGGACGGGAGCATTGATTTCTACATATTTTAGTCAGCAGGGAGCGGGTCCTGCAGAGTTTGCAGATGACACGAAAACTGGGGAAGGGGAGTTTGGGGGAGGGGAGGGGGTTGGCTAATACTTTAGAGCCAAACGGGAAAGTCGGAGAAAGCAAGAAAAAGCAGGAGCACCCGGGCTGAAATAGAATCAGAATAGAACAGACTAAACAGAGTTGGAAGGGACCTTGGAGGTCTTCTAGCCCAACCCCCTGCTTAGGCAGGAAACCCTACACCACTTCAGACAAATGGCTGTCCAATCTCTTCTTAAAAACACCCAGTGTTGCAGCATCCACAACTTCTGGAGGCAACGTTGTTCCACTGATTCATTGTTTCTCACTGTTAGGAAATGTCTCCTTAATTCTAGGTTGCTTCTCTCCTTGGTTAGTTTCCACCCATTGCTTCTTGGAGAATGAATTAGATTAACAGAGTTGGAAGGGACCTTGTAGGTCATCTAGTCCAACACACACACACACACACACACACACACACACACACACGCCGCCTAAGCAGGAGACCCTACACCATTTCTGGCAGTCCTTCTTGGAAGTCTCAAGTGATGACTCCAAGTTCGGTGGAGTCTGTCCTACACAGATGTGCATAACAGAAGAACAGAGTTGGAAAGAACCTCAAAGGTCTTCTAGTCCAGCCTCCTGCTCAAGCAGGAGACCCTAAACCATTTCAGATAAGTGGCTGTCTTGTCTATTCTTAAAATCCTCCAGTGATGGAGCACCCAGAACTTCTGTTCCACTGATAAATTGTCCTCATTGTCAGGAAATGTCTCCTTAATTCTAGGTTGCTTCTCTCCTTGATTAGTTTCCATCCATTGTTTTTCATCTTGCCTTCGGGTGCTTTGGAAAATAGATGGACCCCCTCTTCTTTGGGGCACCCCTTAAATATGGGAAGACTGCCATCATGTCCCCCACCCCTTCATTAAACTACACATGCCCAATTTCTACATCTCAAGACTCTTTTCCTCATTGACCTCAGCAGCTGTCAAATCAGCACCTGCTTGTACCATCAACAAGATGCAGCCCCAACTAGCCTCAACGGAGTTCTCCCCACAGGTAGTTCCACAACAAACCCATGTTAGCCTTGAAGGCTGTTCCTTGATGCTGTTTTTCCATATGACCTTCTTCTAGCACCTGAGCTGTCTTACCTGGACCGAGATGAGAGGTTCTTTGTCATCAATGTCAATCAGAACATCGTCTTTTGGGGTCAGGCTCATGTCATCTGTAACAAATGAAGGGGAAGAAACACAGCTTCAGTTTTTGGGAGTTGACTGTTCTTGCTTTCATCGATGTGTCTTTCAAACCATCCCTGTCACTCAACAGCTGCTTAAGCAGTCTTCCAAAGAAGTCTTTCAGACCAAAAAGATGGAAAAGGGACAACTTTGGACACTGTGATTTAGACACATTGTCTGGGAAGATTCAAGATATATTAAAGTATCAAGCAGGCCACATGATGGATCTTCTCCAATCCATCATTGTTCTGGGTGTTGTATTCAATAACATCTGGAGAAGAAGGACAGACACCATAAAACCAACCCCGAACCAACAAACTCACAGATAGGCGTCCATGGGTAGTCAGACCTTCAGCAAATCACCATAGTCAAGAGACTTTAGTGGACCATAAATCAAACTTTCAGATGATACTCAAGAACAGGTATCTCCAAACTTGGCCACTTTGAGACCTCTGGACTTCAAGTTCCAAAATTCCTCAGCTAACTTGTCTACTTTAAGACTTGTGGACTTCCAACTCCAGGAATTCCCCAGCAAGCTCTGGGAGTTGGAAGTCTACAAGTCTTAAAGTATCCAAGTTGGCTGGGGAATTCTGGAACTTGAAGTCCACAGGTCTCTGTGATGACGGGCATGGCACAAAGGCAACACAGTCAGATAATCAGGAGGAGTCCCTCTATTATCTCCAACTTTGTTCCCAATGTCCTGGTTACCTTCTGGCTGGAGAAAAACTCTCCTAGGAATAGCCTTTGGCTGCAAAGAATCAAGTCCAAAACGTGGTCAACAAAAACTGTAACTATAAGTCCAATCAAGGCAAAATGAGGTAATTAGTCCGGCAGGGCAAGAGAAGGAATTCCGGACGTGAAGGAGTGGCAGTCATTCAATCCAGGGAGGATGCCAGAAATGCAGATAACCGCAGCCAACACAAGATAAACTCACGTTTGTTCCCAGCAGCCACTGCACTCAGCATGCATCTCTTTTAAACCCTCATTCCCAGGTGTGGCTAATGAAGGGAATCAGGGTTTTCTCCTCCCCCGTAAACCATGCAACCCATGTTGCTCCCTTCTTCGTTCCTCCCTGCACGCCCTAGGATGAAGAAGCGGTGGGCCTGGTTCTTCCTCTGAACTCCCTCTCCCTTGTTCTATCTCTCCCCTGCTCTGCCCAGCCGGACTTTGCCCTTTCCCAGTTTCCTCCACAGCCAACGGAGCCACACTCCCACTCCCTGTCAGCTATTCAGCTTCCTCCTCAGACTCAGACTCCGACAGGGGCATGACAGGTCTCAAAGTGACCAAGTCACTCAAGAACGAGGCTTCCTTTGCTAATATCACATGTCATTTATTGGTCCCAGGAAAGCCACCCACTTTTAGGATCACCCAAAGATCTTCCACCCCTCCTGACCTGCGTGGGTTTCAGGAAATACCGCGTCTTCTTTGTAGGGGTCACAGAGGAATGTTTCCAGGGATCGGATGGTGCACTGGCCCACCACAGGTTTGCGGCCAAAGGGTCTGTTGTCAATGACTTTGATGATGATGGGAGGACAGTAGAGGTCTTCCCTTGGCAGACGCTGGGAGAAGAACCGGCCCAGTTGGCACCCCGGGGCAGAGAGAGAGAGAGAGAGAGGGAGAGAAGGGGAGGCAATATTTATTCAATACATTTAATATTACATGCCTTGAAGGAAGCAAGAATTGCATATGCACAACAGTGGAAAAATGAGGAACCACCCATTAGAAGAAGATGTCATTAAAAAAATATTAGATTTAGCAGAAATGGATAGGTTGACATTAAAGATGAAAGATAAAGAAGATACAAAATACTTTCAAACATGGGACTTATTTTATCAATGGCTGGACAATAGAAGTAAAAATTAGAAATTGGAAAAATACTATTATGTATGTCTTAGGTTTAATATATTATTATTACATTATATACTATTATGTAAGCAAATTAACCCAGACAATAATATTTTTGTTAGGGATAGTACCAGAAAAATAGAATAAGGGGAATTTGTATTTAATATTGCATGGTTTGATGGCAGCAAGAATTGTATATGCACAGTATTGGAAAAATGATGAAACACCAAGAGAAGATGTAATTTTAAAAATATTAGATTGCACAGAAATGAATAGGCTGACATTAAAGATAAAAGAAAAGGAAGATACAGAATATCTTCAAACATGGGATTTGTTCTATAAATGGTTGGATAATAGAGGTAGAAATTAGGAGCTAGAAAAACATGATTATGTAAGCAAATTGACCGAGACAATATATTGTTCACAAAGCACTTATGCATGTTAAATGAAAATGTACAAATAAACAATTGAAAAGGAGGAGTATGAGTATGAGAAGAAGAAGAAGAAGAAGAAGAAGAAGAAGAAGAAGAAGAAGAAGAAGAAAAGAGAGAGTAATTCTCATACGAGACAAGAGATTGCAGAAGGAAGCTGCCTCACCACTTCCATGAAGAGGACGGAGATGTCAAAGTTGGGGTTCTTCTTCAAGTTCTTGATCACAGTTGACTGGACCATCTGCCCACCACACTCCACCAGAAGACTGGGAGAAGTCACACTGGCCAACTGGTAACTCTTCAGGTTTCGAAGACCCCAGGCCAATATCTGCTCCCAAAAAGTAAGAGAGAAACCAACCATCTACCAAGAACCGAAACTGACCATTGAAGAACCAACACAATGTTGATGTGGACATCTCAGCTAGAGCTAGATTGTGTTGGGTGTGGGTTGTGGGTGGAGGCACAGGACATTTCTGTTTTCCAGAGAGGAGGAGGAAGTTGTCACTTAACAACTGTTGCAAGACAGATAGTAAAACCAGGAATGATCACATGGTGACCCACTTAAAGAATGCCACAATTTATGACCATAATGCTGGGCTCATTATCGTGGTATCTTGAGGACAACCTACATAGGATTATCACATCGGATGGTGTCATTTTAATCCTAAAGCAAACATTTTATTATATATGTTTTTTGATCCATTAAGGGTCTGATTGGTAAGAGGGGGTGCAAA